CCCCGCGGGGGGGCGGGAGGGGGCGGCCCCCGCCGTCGGGGCAGGCGGGATAGCCTGGGGTGGACGCTGCCCGCGCCCGGGAGAGGGTGCGAGTGTGACTCTCCACCAGGGGTGACCGCGTTCAGATGAGGCCCCCGAGGTGCGCCTGGAGGAGGCAGAGGGCAAGACTGGAGACTCGCGGCCTGGGCTGGGGCGGGGAAGACGGGCTCCGGTTCGGCGGTCTAGACGGGCGGTGCGGACTCCTCTCCTGCGAGAGCCTCCCTCTCGCCCCCTCCACCCCGCTTTTGGTAGTAAAAATGCCATTTGTTCATTTTGTCCACATTTGCCCAGGAGACAGAAAACAGCTGGTGCCCATGGAAACCCGCGCTGCCCGGTCCACGAACAGCGACGCTGCGGGACCAGCCCAGGAGGGCAGGGCAGGTACTTCGCGCTCAGGGATTCGTCACTCCTCCCCCAGTCTTACACTCCAAGAATTTTTCCAAAGCAATTTGTCTTAATTTATTGAATTGTTTTAAGGGGACCAGCAGTTGGCATAATGGCAATGTCACTGGACTCCCATGTAGTCCACCGCGGTTCGCATCCCGGACCTGGTGGCTTAAACTCAACGCCGGGCGTGTGTGAGTGCGTGCCCAAGACCCCGAGAGGAGAATGGAGGAAGAGATGCTCATTTATCACTTCTGGAAAGTTTGCTCTGAAATAAATAAACCATGATGAGATGTCTTCGAAAGTACAGACATCACTTAAGGTCCCTTACTGGTAGAAGTCCAGAGCAGCTTGAAACAGAGTTCCAAACCGCTGAATTTATATTAGTATTCCCGGTCTCAAAGAGAGACACGTAGACAACAGAGCAGAACCGAGTCTAGCAATAAGCCCTCATTGAGAGTCGAGTGGCTTTTCACCAGACAAGGACAATGACATGGAGGAATAAAAGTCTTTTCAACAAATGAAGACAACCATCCACATGCAGAATAAAGCTGGATTTGTATTCACGCCATATACAAAAACTGCCTTAAAACTGATCAAAGCCCTAAATGTAGGCCGGTCTGTGGCGTGGTGGTTAAGGCAGGGAGTCCCACATGGCTGACTGTCCGGTCAGAGTCCTGGACCCCCTGTTTGAGAAGCACGCCATGTGGTGTGTGTGTCCAAAGTCCCAAGAGGAGAGTGGAGGAGAAAGGATGGCAGGGTGGCCAATCCACCCTGGGAATTCTCTCTCTCTCTGTCTTTCCTATGAGTCCATGCACCCTCTAGCAAAATTTTTTAAATAAAAATTAATTTTTTTAAATGTTTAAGGCCTAAATGTAAGAAAAAAAAAACTATAAAATCCTTAGAAGAAAACATGGGAGTAAATCTTCAGAATCATGAGTTAGTCAACGAATTCTTAGCCTTTACATCAAAAACCTCATAATACAGACATTGGGCCACATTAAAAGTAAAAGCTTTTTGTTTCAGAAGACTCCATCAAGAAATTGGGACCACGGGACCAGCAGTTAGCGTAAGGGCTATGTCGCTGGACTCCCATGTAGCTGATCGCCGTGCGCTTCCCAGACTTGGTGGCTTAAAACAGACCCCAGGTGCGTGTGCGTGTGTGCCCAAGAGCCCGAGAGGAGAATGGAGGAGAAGGGATTGTGGTGTGGCCATCCCCTCTGGGGGGTGATTTCTCGCTTTCTGTCTCTCTGTCTTTCTGGCGAGCGCACGTGCCCTATAACAAAAACCTCTCCAAAAGAAAAGAAAAAACTTGAAAAGAGCGGAGGTAGGAGCGAAGGCTGCTGACTGGGGGACTGAGTTATAGAAGGCAGGAGGGGCCTCTTCTGGTCGTACACGACACCGCGGGGAGGGCGTTGGTGATTCCAACCTGCTGCCCATCTCAGAGTGGCTACAGGGGAGGGTTGGAATGTTCCCAACGTGAAGTAATGACAAGCAGCCAAGGCAATTAATAAACTAATCACCTCGACTTGATCAATACACATTGTACTTCTGTGGTAAAAAAAAAAATCACATTGTCCCCTATAGATACAAACAATTATTATGAGTTCACAAAAGTCAAAATAATAAAATAAAGACATACAAAAAA